TACTACTACTATTACTACTACTACTACTACTACTACTACTACTACTACTACTGCTATTACTACACAACATAACAAAATATGTAACAACACACAAATTTTATTGTATAAAATTTATCGAGATGCGTCTCCGAACAGAAATTGGTATTTCCCTTTTTCTATTCTACATGATGTACCGTTTATCCTTCACAGTATGATTTCTTCGTGTCCTGTTGTAGTTCATTTTGTCATCAATGTAAGATATTTTAAGAATTAAAATATGTTGAAGTACTTGATTAGTTCAATATTGGATTTTACTTTCACAGAAACGTCATAACGATTTGTTGAATCATTTTTATGATATCCTTTCATTAATGAAATATGAAAGTTTGGGAAACTTGAAGCATTCAGTTTTTATATTACGCTTACTTATTCATATTTATATGACAATCAACGGTAAGCTTAGATTAAACTAAGTCTTTCTGTTGTCGACAAAGAGAAAATTGAAAATTACTGTAATCGCGTTGAATGAAAAGCACTGATAAAGAAAAGTATCGTTAATGTTGCTAATAACGAGGATAAATTGAAAAAAAATAGAAGAGCGAAATGAAACGGGAAAATAATCAAGTTTAATGCATTTTGTGAAAACTTGGGTTTATGAGAATTTTGTGCAGAATAACAGATCTTAAGAATTGTTAAGAGAATGACAAAATTTCTAAAGATTTAATGAACATGTAACGCAAATAGTGAGAAAAATGGTAAATAATGGGAACACTATAGTTCGGAGACGTATCTTGGTATGTAGTTGGCCTAGTAACAAGTTTCATATTTTTCGCCTCAATCGCAGTAAATCGTCGAATAGTTATCATTTATTATATAATATTGATATTATCCACAAATTTTATTGAAATAAACTTTATCGATACCGTTGAATATAATGTACTTAAATTATGACGATGACAATTTCAATATTGTTACGGGCACCGAGTATACAGAGAATCGAAAGGAAACAACAAAAAATAATAAAAGAAAGAAAGGGAAAAATGAAAAGTAAATAAAACATATGAATGAAAGAAAAATGGAAAACGGTAAGCGTGGATGCATAGTGCGTGCATGTTTGATCATGGAGAAATGAGAGAAGGGTGAGTTAGATGAAATGAGAAAAAGGAACAATAAAGGTAACACCTTCTGAATAAATATAAATCCGAACATTTTAAATAATCGATGAAATTAATGTTGTATAAGCGAAAGTATAAAAGATATAAACATGAATACGAATAGGAATACAGATGTGAATGTGAATATGAATATGGATATGGATATGAATATGAATATGAATATGAATATGAATA